CATGGGCATTTCGGAGTGCTGCCGCACGATGCCCATCCGCAACTGCGCCTCCTCTTGCCGCCCTCAGTACGTACTGCGGTTCGTCAGGAGTTTTTCCCCATCGGCATAGACAGGGTGGGGGTGTTCTCCATACGCTTCTCTTATCTGCATGGCTGCGAGCCAGGAAGCTCTTTATAGGATAGTTTATTTTTTCCTCTATAATTTATCATCACAAGAGCACAGAAGGGTGTCTTGCCATCTAGGACACAAATGATAATGAGTGCAGTTGGAGCAGATGAGCTGCCTACGCCTAGGATTTGTTTTGACTTTGGCAAGTAAGGTGCTTCCCTCTTAACAGAATTACCCATAGAACGAAGAACTTGAGCGTTTCCTGGATTCGGTTCAGTATCAAATTCCAGCTATTACTATAGAGGGATTTTATTTTTTTTTCATCTGTCACCAGAGGTTTTATAATGAATAATCAATGTGTGGTTAGAATAAGAGAAATGAGAACGTGACAGCTGCAGATGTGTTTCAACAATAAGTAGCCTATTTGTAAAACTTTGAGTTCTTTGATCACTCTCGCAGGTAAAGCCCCGTTAAATTGGCTAAAGGATACTGCATTGTAATCCTTGACGATATTTTGTCAAGCCAGAGTGTAATTGCAGTAACTGTGCAGAGTTCATGCCAAGGCACTGAGCCTCAGGTTTCAGTTCAGTTAGATCTTCGTGCTGTTACATGTAACATGTGCTTTAAATACAACCTGAGTTGTATTTAAACAGAGGTGCACGAAGTAACACAGAGATGTTTTCTGAAGCTAAGTACCATGTTCATTAAATCCTAGCTGCTTCATACTTGCAGTGTCTGTTCCGTAAGACATAATAAGGTGCTTTCAGCTGATTCACGCACGCCAGCTAAAGCACGCGTTTCTATTTTTGGTCTTCTGCATTTTCTGACATAAGGATTTTCAAGAAGTCCTAGATTCAACTTAGGCAAATTATATGTGAAACTTGAGCAAATGGAACCCAAAACTGTATCACAGCTGTATAAATTACTAGTTTGGGTACCAGTTTGCCCCTTGCTCAGAAACTTTAGGTGTAATTCATTAGTAGGAGGCTTGGTGAGTCTTCTGGATGCAATGCTTAGCTTGATGCCTGGTCTCCCAGTAACAAGGAGATTCTGAGCACTTGCAACACCTACTGGCCTCAGTTTATGGATGCAGCTACTTGGCTCCTCTGAAGCTCTAGCCTCTTGAAATACTTCAATTTACACTTTATTTATGCATTTTTATGTGTAACTATCCTGGCATAAAATCATAGAATCATAGAATCATAGAATGGTTTGGGTTGGAAGGGACCTTAAAGATCATCTAGTTCCACCCCCCCTGCCATGGGCAGGGACACCTTCCATTAGACCAGGTTGCTCCAAGCCTTATCCAGCCTGGCCTTGGACACTTCCAGGGATGGGGCATCCACAGCTTCTCTGGACAACCTGTCCCAGTGCCTCACCATCCTCTCTGTGAAGAATTTCTTCCTGATATCTAATCTAAACCTCCCTGATTTCAATATTTCAAGTGGTAAGAAAACAGACTGTTTAAGCCATAGATCTAAAATCTTTGAGGACAATGCAGTTTTCTTCAGAGAAGATAGCTGCCATTGAATTCTGTGATCATCTGGGAAGTACATACAGCTGGGAAGAAAGGAAGGTCCAGGGTCTGAAAACTGTAGGTGGATAGAGTTGTTCTTCATCTGCATTTGCATTTTTGGCCTCAAGTACAAACTTGTATGGCACAATGTGTGGGTTTTTTCTTTCTGGAGAAAATACCATAAAAGCTTTCCTATTAACTGAGAGGATTAAGTAGGTGGAATATGTCTTAGTGGTTCCAGGAAAAATATGTATGTGTCCAGTTTTGATTTTTACCCACTCTGTCTGGCTTATCCATAGCACTTGTCAAAGAGGAGTATGAGAAAAAGACAGTACAAATCTGTTTCCCCATGATTTATAACTGAAGTTACCAAACAAGGAAAGTATCTCTTTAGTATCTTTTTGAAAAAAATTGATAACACAGTCGTGCTGCATTTGCTGCTTTTTCTGGGTAGCAATATATTAAGCTAGGAAATTAATTACTTTCCATATATACCATGGATCCACAATCCTGTGACACAGTTTGTCTGGATGAAATTCAGCTGTGAGGAGATGAGGTATTTGAAACAGATGTTCCTCTACTGGCTAGAGAATAAGTTATCATTTATCTGCTATACTGAACGGATAAAATGTCTACGCTGATCTATCAGTCACCTCTGTGGAAGTTCTTCGTCAAGGAGGCCTTTGAGCTCACATGGATGTCTGGGGACAATATTTTATTCCAAACTTTCTATGTCTCTGCACCTCCATCCTCCTCCTTCCTTCCTGCTCACCCAAATAGTTTTTGAACAAATAACTTCTGAACAGAGGAATAGAGTACTGAAAGATAATCATGTTGCACAGCTTTCTTAGGGGTCACCTGAGTGGGAGTGAAGGTGAGAGAGACATCCGGTGTCCCCACTGGAGAGAAGACTGCAATGTTAGTTTAGATTTTACTGGAAGTTGGAGAATTCAGTTTGAGAAGGGACCTTAGAAATGGCTTTACCACAAGGAAAGATGTAATTGGAACTGATGGTCAACTGAGACACAAATCTGGGAGAAAAAAACACCTTGTTAGTCCTTCAGCTCCTTGTTCAATATAAACAGCAGTAATTCTGTCTTCTAGACAGAATGCCCAAATTCATAACTGCTTTTTCCTTATGCCTCAAATAAAACCTCTTAGAATAGTTTCTGAATCCTCGGGGTCATTAATTTCTGGTTTACGCTGTATATTTTGGTTGCATAGCCAAGTCATGCAGAAAGCAACGTTGGGGTCATTTTGTGATATTTAAGTCACCTAATTATACGTATTTATAATTACATACTGCAGTGAACGTTAGAACAAGCAGTACTCTTCATATGTGCAAGCTAGAGTCAGTCTTAATTTTCCCTCTCCACAGCCCTAATGCATTTGTGAATTGCATTGTGTTGGATGGGTGAAGCAGTGAAGTACCACCAACAGAATCTGACTCCTCAAGTTTCTTTCCAACCTAAAGGCTGTTAGATATTTCTCTTTCTCTTTCTGCATGACTGTGAGTATGCACACACACACGTGCATGTGTATATGTATATATGTACATATATATAAGCGCACAGATTTTCTGGCAGTATACCTTCCTGGCCCGATGTGATTGATGCTTTTTTAATGTCTTAATAACTCTGTCTTTATTCCTGCCATGTGTTTCTTTTACGTTGTTTATGGTCTACTGAACACTTAGGTGAGCACATTTTGCTTACTGCTTTAATCACTATTTTATTAATTCTGTGGTTATGTGACTCCTTTTCCTTTCTTCCTGACAAGACCTTCAAGTAAACTTATTTACAGCAATTTCTGTCTGGTACTATTTTCTGTTCTTAATTTTCTGTCGTGTCAGACAACTTATTTCAAGAAACCAACTCAACTGGCAAAATGAAATTGAATTGAAAATTCAATTGAAAGTGGGGAAATTTAGATTGGATATCAGGAAGAAGTTCTTCCCAGTGAGGGTGGGGAGGCATTGGGACAGGTTGCCCAGAGAAGCTGTGGATGCCCCATCCCTGGAAGTGTCCAAGGCGAGGCTGGATGAGGCTTGGAGCAACCTGGTCTAGTGGAAGGTGTCCCTGCCCATGGCAGGGGGGTTGGAACTAGATGGTCTTTAAGGTCCCTTCCAACCCAAACCACTCTGTGATTCCATGATTGGCATGTTTACAATATCTCTTATTTATGGATCAACAGATCTTGCATTAAAAGTGAACATTATTATCTTCAATTTGCAGACTGGAAAGCAGAAGTGCAGAAGCAACGTTTCCTCAGTCTCCCAGCATGCTCGTGGTACAGCTGGGGATGACCCTCCAATTCCCAATTCCCATCTTCATCAAGTGCTCTTTCCATAACAGTGTCTCTG